CTCCAGCATATGTGTCCCCATTCCTGTAACCAATTTCACCGAGGTTTTACAATCTTTTACGAATGRTAAACTGATCATTTGAATTCAGATGTCATGAACACAAACACAAGATCAAGGGATCACATAATCAGATTGTTACCTGAAACGGTAGTGGCCAAAACCATGTTTAACTTGCGTACAGGATTCCCCCATCTAGTCTTGATTTATTCGTTTGTAAACCCATTTTAACATATACAAATATTTTATTTACATTTCAACACATTAAATATGTTGTTTTGGACCCTTCATTAATGATAAACTAAATACCAGTTTATGATGTTAACGATTAGAAATAGCCCTAAGAATGAGCATCAAATTGCAATCAAGAACGGTGATTTTGATTCTACGCCCTGTTTTCTCCCAGTTTCCTTCACGGAATCACCTACTCTATCGAATTCTATTCACGACTGCACTTTTTCGCCAAGAAAGCCTTGCTGTTTTTTCTACTTCGTTACTAGCATCACTTAAGTAGCCCATCTTCCTCAATCTCCTATTCAGCAATTGCCTTTCCTTGTCTTGTCCTCCCTTCAACCCAATTATCTCTCCCCAGCTCTTTCACGGTTAAGTTGCCATCATCAGACAATATCTCCAGACTACCATTGCTGGCTTTATGGTAAATATAGGTCTAGACCAAAAAGCAATAAGAGATGGAATTCACGGTTTCTAGCATACAACAATAGACACGCATACGAGGGTAAATTTCAACAATGGTAAGTTCTCCTGCTTGTGGGGTTTACTACCATTAAATGAGCTGATGATACAAAGGTAACCGAGTTGTTGGGAATTATGACGGCCATGAGGTTGAGAATGGGCAACCGTATAGGGGGAAAAATATCGACCAGGGTTTGAGAAATGGGTTTGGATGTAGGCTCTATACCAGAGATGTACGGTCAGATGGGAAGGCCATTGGTATGGAGTTCATACAGGAATGGGGACACATATGCGGGAGAATATTTTGCAGACAACATTGCATGGATTTGGTCTACAGCATGCAAACGAGCATGCATGCGAAGGATGATGGCACAAAGGATGATGGCAGGCTTGGTACGTATACTTTCAGATATGGTGAAACCTAATCTGGTTACTGGCACAACAGCATCATT